AGAGAGAGAGAAAGAAAAGAAAAGAAAAAAAAGGAAAAGGGACTGTTGATACTCTCCGAACGCCGCCTACTACTCGAGGTCCTGGCCTACTGTGTATCTATATTTCCATTTAGGAAACTTATCTACATATATTCATCCTAAATATATTTACCACTGGGTAAGCTATATACCTAGATAACCCTCAACATGCCCACCGAACTGGAGGAGGTTCGTTTCCCTGCACCCTGCAGCAATGCCTGGGCTCAGTTTGCCTGACGAATATCCCATTGTACTTCAGCTTGTCGAATTCCTTCATCATGGGAACACTCAAATCAGACAAATTGGTAATAGGGACCCTTTATAAAACCGATGAACAGCCTGGAGAATCAACATCTGTGACCATTTGTGGATGCTCTATAATAACTTATCCTAGCCTGTGAAAACCTCCTCGGTTTCTCAACTGCCCAGCCGAACTTATTCAAACGCCATCAGCTTCTGCCAGTGCGAGATTTGAAACTTTTGGTGCGAGATTACAATGTTAGTGCCCACCCGGTCGAATCTTGGCCAGGTCGCTTACTGAATAGCCAATCGCGAAAAATGCCCTGACAATGCTCATCAACCTCTCGGCTGACCAAGACGTATTGGCCAATCTTGCGGACGATGGTGATTTTCTTGAGACTCTCCTCACAAAGGTGACGGTGAGTGCTCCGTACTTGACGCGGGACGACACAAGTCTTAACTAATGCGGCATTAGAACGTCAAGGAGCCGAATGCAGATGATGTGTCGATGCTTTTGGCCAACTTGGTCAAGTCAGAGAAAATGAAGAAACTGCTAACCATAAAACGACGGGTCCCAGAACTGGTGTCTACTTCGCCCAATGCAATGGATCAGCTGATGGATTGTTTCGTGAAAGGTGCCGAGGGCGCCCTCAACAAAAATGCTACCTATGACTACCTGTCTTATGTGTTTGCCGACATGTCGAAGTCTAAGGAAGGTCGGGCGTATTTTACCTCGCGCCAGGAGTATGACGGCGTGGTGCCTGTAACGAAGCTTACTGTTTTCACCGAACACCAAAGCTCAATTCGGAGAAAAGGAGTTGCATCAACAATAAAGAATGTCGCGTTTGACATCCCATTCCACCCTGCTCTTTTCTCAGAAGATGAAGCCAATATCCTTCCATACATCCTGCTGCCGATAGCAGGCCCGGAAGAGTTTGGTGAAGAAGAGACACTGACGATGCTGCCAGACCTTCAGCTGCTACCCCCAGACAAAAAGAGGGATACCGACAATAGCATTATTGTAACACATCTTGAAACGTTACTGTTGCTAACAACAACTCGGGAAGGGCGAGATAGAATGAGGGAGGTACAGGTCTATCCTATAATTCGAGAATGTCATCTGAACGTTGATGACGAGGATGTCCGGGAAGCTTGCGACAGGCTGGTTCAGATCTTGATGCGGGACGAGGAGGGAGAAAATGCTGGACAGCCTGGAGGAACGCAGCGGGAACATGATGACCAGCAGGTGGTAGAGCTCTTTTGAGTCGGTGTATCATGAGAGTTCCTTTACTTCTTTTCTTTACTAAATATGAACTCTTTGTTACGAATTCAGTGACAGTGAAAAGCTTTTATTTGAATACCAGCAGTGCATGCCACCATAACGACATTGAACCCGAGATTAGAATAATGAACGGGGAACTAATCAATGACAAAGCTAAAGCAGGTTTTCAACAGAGGCTCTTTTCATTGAAAGGAAGCGTAGCAAGCAGGTCAATATTGGCCGTATCTGTTGCGCATTGATTCATTTGCCTTTGAGCAGCCGAATCCCTTCTATGGAATTGCATTGAATCAAGAGTCACTCCGTAAAAAGCGCCTGGGTCTTGGCCATCTGGAATACGCAACATTCGTCGCATCGTGTTTGCAGCGAGAGTAGCTTGTCGATGAAAATTCTCGCGCTGTGTCCGCTGCTTCTGGGCAGCTGCCGAGGGGCATATAAGTCTGCTATAGGTACCAATTTCACTCGAGAAATCCATACCGCGAGTACTGGACACTTGGTCGAACCCGGCGAATTTGGGCGTTCTACAGGGTTGTTGTCGGTTTAAGTGTTCTTCCGCTTCAGCAAGCAGATCCTGACCTACGTGGCCATTGTCCGTTCGCCATTCCCACCCGACTCCTGGAATTTCCTGAACTCTACGTATGATGATCTGAGCGCGGGAGAACTCTGCTCTGATAGATTCCAGACCCTTGTCTGTGACAGTTCTGCCTATATTATGGTTGTGTTCGAAGGGGTCCTCAATTGCTATGAGGAACCTGAGTCGATGTCCTTGTTCGTCAGTCCTTGCGGTGTTCCAGAATTTCTCCAGTTTGGAAAGGATGCCACCCTGCGTGCGAATTGAAATAACGTCCTGGATCCAATTGAAAGCGCCTGAGGGCGTAGTTTTGCACCGGCTTCCATAGTATGCGAAAAAGCCACGAAGCAGCTCGCCCACGGATTGCCGATTACCATAAGTCATATTATACCAGGCTCTCTTCCTAAGTTCAGTCTCATTTTTGAAAAAACGGATATCGTACTTGCTAGGATTCGTAGTGCTGGAGTGTCTAGGGGACAGCCGACCCAGAAGCTGAAGATTAGGAACCAAAGGCGGGTCTACCACGTTCATCAAGTAGTGGATGACCATGAGAATGTAGCCTTCCGAAGAGAGTGTTCCATAGTTGGGACGATTGATTTTTCGAGCCTTGGCCCACATCTTCACGAAAAGACCAATAACACGCACCCTTTCATCGCATAGGGCGTAACAGCGAAGTAATTCGGTATTGTATAGTACCAAGCGCCCAGAAAAATTGAGGTCACATTGAATGTCTACTGAAGATAGGGCCTCCAGATTTGTAGCCTGCTTTGGAAAACGGTAATTATTCTGTCCTCTGCTTTCAACCCCGAGCGAGGTTAAGACACCTTGGGAAGGAGGTTCGTACAATTTGACGATCAGAATCCTGGCCTTTTGAATTAATTGAGCATTGAAGCCGGCATCAAGAAATGCTTTATACAGAATTTGGGGACACCTTGCTTCTATATCTTTTGGGAACACTTCTCCATGGGTGGTCATTACTAGATCAAGGTCAGCCCCAGGCAATGCGAAACCATTCCGCAGACTGCCAAAGCATTTGAGGTCAATGGTTTTATCTCTAGTCGTATAGCCATGCTGCTTGGAATGTCGTTCAAGCGCTTCCCGGGCGATGTTGGTTAGTAAATCTCGCAGGGTTTCCTTGCTGCGAAATTCGCTAGCTAGTGAGCCGAAAGAGGGCACTCGGGCTGCTAGGGAGTTTAAATAGTTTATCTGAAGTTGAGCTCGCCTGCAAGGATCAGACTGTTGATCACCGAGCCGGGTTCTGGGGGCATGTGAATAGGAATAGCCAGCTGGATTACTGGGGTGCGTAATCTCTAAGACTGATTGGCAGTGTACAGGATATGTGGCAGTTTTGTCATTCATTGTGCACTGTTCAATATGGCTCTTTGAAAAGAACCTTTTTTGACGATGAGTTGAATTAGTAGTGCTGATCTGGATATCGCAATGATTCGCAAGGTGGCAAGAGATTACTGGCTGCTGTTGGGATAACAGTTGCGCACTGGCATGACTTAGCATATCAATGACATGGCACGGCAGGTCGTCCATTCCTGAGGATATCGGAGTAATGGTAGTAGACCCACGTGCAAGGCCGTATCTTTTATCAGTCATAACGGGTGCAGCACATGATTTAGAATGTTGAGGGACCTTACAGGGTATGATTGACCGTTGTTAGTCGAAGTGCAAGAAACTAGATAGTAGGAAATGGAGAGAAGGGACTATAAGATGGAATTTTTGATCGAGTGAGCGATGTGACTGCCAATACTGACAGTCTTCTAGCATTGGCGACAAGTCAATCAATAGAAGTGAGATATAAATGGGAACATAGGCGTTCAAGATGTAGATACCGTGAGAAGAACAATAACGCGATGGCGGGAAGGAGCATGATGTGAAAGGGGAAGAGGTTCGTTTCCAAGCCTCTTCTTTAACTTCTTTCCTTGTTGTTATTTTCGAGATAACCCGTAAACTGACCCTTAGCCTAAGCAGAAGTGATACCACAGTGAGAGGTCAAATGAATAAGGGGTGGCGGAAGTTGACCAGGCATAGTTAGTACGTTCCGTCTTACGATTAAATACTTATTCCGTACTCCGTAATGCAGGTGATACTGTAAATCTCACAAACCCGACTAAGGTACGGAGTAAGTACTCCGTAACTGCGCTTACCTAAGTGATCAGTCTATTTCAGTTGAGGCAGTCCACTCCACTCCACTGCTACTCCATCTTCCTTCGTCAGCACTCTAGTACCCAAGACAATCCTGTCTTTGGTTAAATACCAAGAAGATCTCTTTTCTTGATATATATGCATCGTGCAAGCGGGACTTCTACGACCTAGGTATATGTATCACCGAAGGAGCTTCATGTGTCTGAAAGCATACCGGTAACATGGCTACACCTACGAACGACCTGAACGCGCGGACTTCAACAGGTTCAAATGGACCTCCACCCATGAGAATTCGTCGCCCAAAGGCAGCGGATCCTTTAGTACGACCAAAAAAAAAACCTACAGCCAAACCAGCTATTCCTATTGCCGGAAATGGACCAGCCTTAAAAGCGGTTTCTTCGCGACCAGCTACTTCCAACCCGCCATCTATGCCTCATTCTGAGAGGGGGAAGCCTTCATCTTCAGGAGCTGATTTCTCCGCCAATGGATTTAGCGGCCCATTGTTATCCGAAACATATACGGACTATCCCCTAGTAACGACAAAGCGCGCATTGCGGGAAGGCTTGAAACATCACATTGCTAGATTTGCATCAAAAAAGACCGTCGACCCGCGTGACGAAAACCAGTTCACTAGGCCTGTCAGGCTTCAACGTCGCGATCCGCGCGCCCGATCGCATGAGATGACATCGGAGAAGAGCCAGGGCATGCAGAAGACAACGTCTGAATCTAGCCATCAGATAGATGAGGTTGAGCGTGAAGAGCTAGAGGCGAGGAAGGCTGCCCGTGAGAAGGAACGCGCGGAGAATTTGGCTCAAATAGCCCCTTCCGCTGGATCCGCCCCGAAGAGAGCGAACGCACCCAAGCAAAAAACTCAGCAGGTGTCCAAGACAGATATGACTCCCGAGGAGATGGCGAAGACGCGAATCAAGTACGAAGAGGCTTTGCCATGGCATCTAGAAGACTTTGACAACAAGAATATTTGGGTGGGGAACTATGAAGCTGCTCTGTCCGAAACGCATGCGGTATTTGTACTTGAGGCTACCGGGAAAATGAGGATGATTCCCGTGGAAAAATGGTACAGATTCAATGCCAAAAACCAATTCAAAGCTTTGACTATCGAGGAAGCGGAGAAGTTCATGGCAAAGAAAGTTAAAGATCCACGGTGGTTCATGGAGAAACAACAAGAACTAGCTCAACGAAAGGAATTAGAGCAATTTGCGAAACAGCGGAAGGTATACGCTGGTAAACAAGGGACCCCATCTGGAGTTGAGGGATTGGAGGCCGATGAAATGGACTTTGAAGAAGATCGGTTTGCTGATGATGAAGAGCATGATGATCTGTTCAACGAGGATGAGGACGCAAAGGCAGCGGAGAAGAGAATCAAGCAAGACCAGTTGAAAGCCAATGTTTTTGACCTGAAAGACGAGAAAGACTACGAGCAAGAGGAATTGAGAGAAAAGAAAGAGAAGGAGGCTCGTCGTGTGCTTGGAAAAAAAGTTCGGAAAGCTTTACAAAAACGAGAAAAGAACTACGACTATAGTAGTGGTTCTGACGTTAACCCTTATTCAGATGAAGAGGTGAGAACAGCATCCACTCCTACACGCTCGTGTCGTTACTAACACTTTTGTTTTCTTTCATTCTAGAGCTCTGATGATAGCGAGGCTGAACGATTGAAGGAGGAAGAGCGGAAAGCCGAAGAGGAAAAGAACAAAAAAGACGTAACGACATCCTCCAAGGGCAACAATACGCCGTCCGGCCGCCCTAAACATACGGATCCCTTGAAAAAAGGCACGGCAGCTGCACCACGGAAGCGGTTGGGGTCTCCCAACGTGTCGGATGCGAGTGGGACAGACACTTCCCGCAAAAAGGGTAAAAGCAAGGACCAGTCCTCTCAGCCCACGCCTCAGCCAAGCTCGCGCAATATGTCTCCCGTTGCGTCATCGCAAATGCCAGTAAGTTCCCTATCAGTGGCGCCGGGTCAACTCGTGTGTTAACGCCTTTGCAGCTTGGCAAGAAGCGTGTCCGAAACGTACCTCTTGGTGGTGCAGGCTCCGGGAGTGATGCCGATGGCGGCGCAGGTTCAGGTGCAGAGATGAGTGAAAGTGGTAAAACTAAAAAGCTCAAGCTTAACCCCCCAGCAGTTTCTCAGGGTGGGACTCCCCAGGGATCTAGGGCAGGAAGTCCCACTCCTCTGGCAGGTAGAAGTTTTTCGGGAAGCCGTGCTAGCAGCCCTGAGTCATTCAGAGGTAAGTCTAATTCATCAAATTGGGGAACTTTCCTCAGGCTATGTAGCATTGTTCTGATTGGGCCATATGTAAAGGGCAAACTCGCGTTTCCACTCCAGTACACGCTGGAAATCAAAGCTTCCCTACGCCTGCTGAGATTCATGCTGCTATTCCCCCCTCGGGCATACTCAGTAGTGACTTGCTCAAAATATTCCGTCCCCGTATTGGTGAGTCGAAGGAGAACCACCGAAAGTTTATAGCGATTGTCAAAGATGTCGGAGTTTATGGCAAAGAAGATCGATTGTTGCGACCTGGTACGTTGAAGGAGAGTTGATTGGGAAGATCGTGTCACGTGCGTTGAGTGCTAAACCATTCAATAAGCGCAAGTACAAGTATTAGGTTTCGGTCAGTATATGCTCATGATAATTGAATATCTATTGAGGTCATGCTAAAGTAGTTATCTATATGAAATGGGGATTGAGGTATAAATAGCACTTGAACAAAACAGTAGAATTGGGATAGACGTTTTGGACACCCAGCGCTAAGCCGAAACATCTTTGGGCGAAAATAGAGACGAAACAAAGGCATTATAAAGTAACAATCGTGCAAGGAGTTTCCTTTCTATGGCCATTTTTTTAAGCGGATTTTGTATCACCACCGTGTGAGACGTTCTCACTTCTCTTCCTCGTATTTCTCCCAGTTTGCCAAAATGTTAGCAATACGCGGTGAATTCGTGAGCCTGTAGACATCTTCGAAATATTCCTTGGTGAGTTCGAAAGGGCGAGCTGTGACATTTGGAATATATTTTCCAACCAACTTGCTGGGGTCAATAGTGTTCTTATTGATCTTCTTTAGCAAAAACGACCGGAAAGGCTTGACGCCAGAACGGAGGAAAGTGCTGTGGAAGGGAACGTCAATTCCCCTCAGAGGGATGGTAGCGAAGCCACGTTCAAGGGTAATGGGCTTAGGCTTAGACTCGGTCTGCTTGACACATTCATGGATGATCTTAACCAGGTGAGTCTTGACATCTTCCAGAGACATGCTCTGCATGAGAGCCGGAATGTCAATGTTCTGAGCCTTCAGGTAATTGAGTAGATTTGTAAGACAGTCAAGTGCTCGGAGCTATAAAGGAGAAAGTTTTGTTAGAGAATTTGCTCATAATCGAAAGGGGAAATGGTGGACTCACATCTCCAGCTGCAACATATTGCATGTTTGCGACGTTGTAGTTCACAATCTCAAGTAGCCAGCCAGTTTGCTCCGAGATATTCTCTACCACATATTGCAGAGCCTGTTCATTGAAGGTCTTGGAAATTCGACTTGGATTGACAGCGCACATAGAGTAGTTAGAGCGGCCTTGTTCATCGCGTTCAACAGCAACTTGCATGGTCAACCCGCGATAGAACACTACAGAAACCAAGCTTTCGATGGGCATAACATCTGCAAGAGCTGCAAGAGCTGAATATTCACCAAGCGAGTGACCAGCGAAGCTGCTATCTCTTTGGACCAGTCCCTTGGAACGCATATCTTCAAAGCTAGCCTTCTCCATCAATGTCAAAGCTGGCTGAGTAAATTGTGTCGCAGAGAGCAATCCGGATGGTGATCGATAGGTGTAAGACGTTGTATTTTCGTCGATTTCCTTGAAGATCTTCTCTGACTTGATGCTTCCATCCGCATTAACAGACTCGAAGGTCATCGACATGTAGTTTTGGCGAATAGCTTTGCCGCGGGGGCCACCAAAATAGACGGTAAGTTCCTTAGGGTTGTTTTTCACGATATCAATGATGGAAAGACCATAGTTCTCCATGAAGTGACGGTCTGCCCGATCCCAAACTTCTCTAGCAACAGGGCTGCTGCTATACAGCTCCATTCCCATTCCTTGTTCTTGGGAGCCCTGTCCAGTGAATACGTAGGAGGTAACAGGTTGTTCCACCTCTGCTTCACCAAGAAGAACTTTATCCTCTGTCTCCTTGTTGCTGGCTTCAACCTTGATGATCTTACGGCCAGCGATCATACCAACGTGCTGCAACTTGACGGTGATCATGTCGTTGGGCAAAACCATCCCAACCAGGGATACATGGAAACCCCTGACACGGCCAATGTTATTCTCAGCAGCCCAGGTTTCCACATAGCTGCGAACAGCGGCACTCGTATACATGCCATGGGTGATAGTACCTGGTAAGTTGGCGTAGCTGGAGAAAACTCGTGAGACGTGGATCGGGTTGTAATCGCCCGAGACGCGAGCATAGGTCTCGTTAGAAGCTGGAGCACGCAGCTCCAAAGGTGTCTTTCCGCTGAGAGGGATGGGGTTTTCAAAGTACACGGGCTGCTCGATAGATGTTCCGTTTCGCTGAAGGTAGTCCACCACTGGATTTCCGTGAGAATCTCCGGCTTCGTAGTCCACAGTCGCAACTTGAATAATCTCCTTGGTAGGGAGTTCAAGAAGAACTTGGCCGACTGTTTGAACATGGCTGAACACGGATTTATTCTTGAATCGAATTAGACTTTGAAGGCGGAAGGTCAAGGTCTGACCCAATAACTCAACATCAGAATCATCAATACGGAACCACTCCTTGGACCGAAGGATTGCAACATCCCTGCTCGACGCAAGATGAACCTGCATCGGAACCTCGTCTTTACGCTGGA